CTTCTTGCCTTTTCTGCTCAGAGCATCAGCAACTACATTAGCTTTACGTGGATGGTAATCAATGGTACAATCATAATCTTTCAACAACTCTATCCATCTCCTCTGGCGACTATTTGAATCATTCTGATCCATAATATACTTCAGGCTTTTATGATTAGTGAGGACTTTAAAAGTCTCACCATACAAATAATGTCGCCAAATCTTGAGAGCAAATACCACCGCTGCCAATTCTAAGTCATGAGTGGAATAATTTACTTCATGAGGGCGCAATTGCCTAGAGGCATATGCGATAACTCTTCCATCTTGCATTAACACACAACCCAATCCTTGATACGAGGCATCACTATACACCACGAACTCTCCATGGTTTGAAGGTAAAGCCAGTACTGGTGTTGTGGTCAATTTCTTCTTTAGTTCATCAAAACTCTTTCGATATGATTCATCCCAAATATACTTAGTATTCTTCCTCAACAGTTTAGTCAATGGTGTAGCAATTTTGGGAAATCCTTCGACAAACCGCCGATAATAACCAGGCATGCCAAGAAAATTCCTCAACTCAGACACATCTTTTGGTGGAGTCCAACTTACCACGACTTCCACCTTTTTCGGATCCACTTCGATACCTCTTCCAAAAATTACATGTCCCAAAAATATTACCTCCTTCAGCCAAAACTCACATTTTGAGAATTTTTCATATAAGAGGTTTTGAGAATTTTGCATATATACCGCTGGTGCATTAGTGAGCCCAAAAGGCATTACCAGGAACTCATAATGCCCATATCTTGTTCTAAAAGCTGTCTTTGAGGTCGCTCCATCTGCCACTTTCAGTTGATGGTATCCAGACCTCAAATCAATCTTAGAAAAGACTGATGCACCCTACAATTGATCAAACAAATCATCTATTCTTGGAAGGGGATAACGATTCTTCAATGTCGCCTTATTCAACCTCTGGTAGTCAATCCACATTCTCATGGAGCCATCTTTCTTCTTGACAAACAAAACCGGTGCACCCCAAGGTGAGATGCTAAGTCGAATAAACCCTTTGTCTAGCAATTCTTGCAATTGTTCTTTAAGCTCCTTTCAGCTCAATTGGTGCCATTCTATATGGTGCCATTGAAATTGGTGTTGTGCCAGGTACCAATTCAATATCAAATTCTACTTCCCTTTCTGGTGGAAGGCCGGGAAGTTCTTCGGGGAATACATCAGGAAAATCCCTTACCACCTCTACATCCTCAACTTTCTTATCATTTACAACAGTAACTTGAGCAAGAAAGGCTTCACAACCTTCCTTCACTAATCGAAAAGCTTCCAAGGCAGAAAGAAAACCATGAGTCTCTTTTTTCTTAATGCCTCGGAATACAACAGGACCTTTATCTGGTTTGTTGAATAACACTTCTTTCTTTTGACAATCCACAATAGCTCCATGTGTTGCCAGAAATTCCATTCCAAGGATGACATCAAATTCATCAAAAGGTAGCAGAATTAAATCTGCTGCTAGGAAAGCTCCTTCCACACAAAGGAAGGAACTTCTAATAACTGAGTCTACCTTCAAGGTATCTCCCACATGTATTTTAACACATAAGGTATAACCTAGCGTATCTGGAACTAAGCGTAGCATATGTGAAAACGTATATGACATGAATGAGTGAGAGGAATCAGTATCAATCAAAGCATATAATTGCTTGCCAAGGATAGAAAGCATAGCAGTCACAACTTCTGGTGCCACTTCTGCCTCACCTCGAGTCATTGCATAAACCCTCGGTGCTCCCTGTGCTCTGGTACCCTGCGTACCACTTCCTGATGGCTGATTTCGATCACCGCCTCTACCACCCTGTGAACCACCACGACCACTCAGAAATCCACTACGGCCTCCATGGTAACCACCTCTGGCTGGGGCTCTACTAAAGTGCACTGAAGATTCGGACTGAGTAGGTCTTCCTCCTCCCCTATAAGGACAGTTCCTCATGATGTGACCCGGCTGACCGCATTGAAAGCATACTCCTGAAAACCTCCAACACACTCCAAAGTGTCTCTTCTGACAAACTTAGCAAACTGGAGCCAGTGTGGCTGAGGAAACAGGTGCCTTGTATGATGTTTTTGACATAGATTGACTCGATGTTCTCCCAAAACCGCTAGGACCTCTCTTGGATGGGTAACGAGGTCCATAATAACTCACTCCAAACTTCCTCTTCTTCTCCTCTTCTTTGGCCTTGTGTTCCTCTCTACCCTCAACTTCATAGGCTTCATACTTAAGTGCTGCCTCCTTGATAGTGGTCATACTCTCTTCATCAACCCTGTGGATATTTTCTTTCAACCCTAGGCGCAGACCATGTAAGTATCTCATCTTCTTCTTATGCTCAGTATCCGCCAACCCATCTTCAAAGTAGAGTAGTCGAACAAACTTGATGGTGTGCTCAGTAACTGTCATGTTCTCCTGCTTAAGGTTGGCGAATTCATTATTCTTTGCCCTGATAAAAGCTTCGGGAAGAAACACTGTCTTAAAGGCCTTCAGGAACTCCTCCCAAGTGAACTGAACTCGTTCACCATTAACTCTAGAGACTGAGGACCACCAGCTCCTCGCGTACCCCTTTAGGAGAAAAACAACATATTGTACTTTTTCCTCTGGGGTCGCATAAAGATACTCAAACACATCTTCCATCTCCCTCAACCACTCTACTACAGCATCTGGGCTCACATCTCCCTTGAAGTCCCTACCACCCAAACTCTTCATCTTTGTATAGTCTAATACTGGCGGTCTTGCATCAACCGCCCCCACTCCTCTCGACTGGTCAGTAGGAACATTTTCACAACTTCCGTGCGAGCTACAAGGAAATATTGGCCTTAGATTGATCCACACAAAATTCATTCTTCACCAAATCTCTCACTTGGTTAAAACAAAAAATTTCCAAAATAATTACTTGAAAACAAATAAGTTCAAAACTCAGTTTTGAAAACCATGATGCAGGTAATTTCATCCAATATACCAATACACATAATCATGTCAAACTCAATTCCCAGTTTAAGTCATTATGGGGTACTCCCCTCCGTAGGAGTGCTTAACATCCCATAGGGTATAGTACGCCATAACAGCAAAAAGAGGGAACCGGGCTCTGAAACCAAACTGTAACACCCTACCCTATACGTTTTGTCTAATCATATTGTTCATACAATTGCAGCGGAATTAATCTCGGGTGTTACATTAATTATCAAAATTTACCCAAATAAAATTTCGACATGAATTATTCGCGTAATGGGCTAACAGTTCTTGCAACTTATCCTGCAAAATAATTCATCACAAACATATATACTCACAACCATATGCATTGGCTTTTCTTAGCCATAGTCACACTTTTCATACTCCACAACTGCATACCATACTTATACATACCATAATCGTCACAACTTACACAGTTACACAACATATACACATATCATCAACTTTCCACACCCGTGGATATCTCACACTACATCAGAAGCTAGTATGCACATGAAAAACATTCTCAATTTTTTTTTTACAAAAAGGTGTGGATCACTGGCCAAAATCCCGAGTAATAGTCCAAGCACAAAATTGTTGAAGACCATACCTCATCCTGGCTTCAACTCTAGCTCATCTCCCACCTAACACTTATCTACTGCTGTTGATGATGATCTGCTTAGACATAGCATAAGCAGAGAAGAAGAATAAAAGAGGGTCAGCTCATAGCTGGGTGATATAATCATAGCATCGTGAGTTCATAACAGAGCAGACCCCTACCATACATCTAACAATCAAGCCAAAACACTAGGATCGGACCTCAGCCATCCTCATATCCCAATATGCAAAAGACTCAACCACCTTAACTTATGCATATGCATCTTATCATGTTTTAATCATAGGCGCCTGGCTACTCCCATGATAATTACTCTCGCGGGAATACGAACCAAACATCTCGTGAATGTGGTCATATCGGACCCACCACTGTCGGTGTAGTCATATCGGACCTGATCTTACTTGGTATCCTTATACATGATCTATATCTCATCTTGCTTAATCATAATTCATTACTTAGACATGTTCTTGGCCTGGCCACAATTGGCTCAACATAGGTAAATCAGGAGTCGTATAATTGCACTTCCTCGGGATAAACCCTCGTGCAAGTCATCCTCCTTAAACGTCATAATATCACCAGGGAATATATATTTTCCCCACATGTGCATCCAAATACAACAATCATGAAAAATGATACCCAATCACCTTTTCGAACCATCATAAAGCATATTAACAGTCAAGCCCACAATTAGCAACATATACGAAATCAACAGCATAAACAAGGTCCATCTCGATTAGGGAAAGTCAATAATATCATACAGTAGTCCATGATTCATCATATAGCACAAAAGTTCATACACCCTTAATCATGCCATTCTAGTTCACCTAGGTCAATTCTAAGCATCAATATAATTATCTTGATACGACAAACCCGGTATGGCGTGCTAATCCCTCACCAGTTCTAGTCGTTCAAACACTGGTTTAATCTTCCTGTACTAAAACGTCAATTTCATGAACGAACCCCGAATTAAAATCCGAGACCGTCCTAATATCCCCTCGCTGCAGAAAGCTCGTTATGAAATTTGGGCTCAATCCGGCTTCCGGATACTCCGAAAGCCTAATTTGACTTATCGGGAATTCAAGAAATTCGGGATTTTTGGATCACTAAAGCTCAAGAATTGAGCTTTGGAATTTTCCAAAGATGCTTCATGTGCGTGCTCTGCTTCTCTGTAGCTCTCGATCCAAATAAATGGAGCCGAAGAAGATGATGATGGAAATAATGGACGGGGGAGGGGAAATGTTAATATATATGCGGCCCGGTCGCTTAATGTAATTATATATATATATATATATATATATTATAATATATATATATATATATATATATATATATTATATATATATATATATTATATATATATATATATATAATTAATATATATAATTATCCGATCGATCAATAATCTGATTTTCATCGAAATACTGCCAAAATGCTCGATTTTAAATCGTAAAATTTTCTAGTGACAATAATACGATTTTAGCCGAAACGGGATGTTCAAATATCCATACTATTCACGCCTATCATTGTCATTATACTTGTGACCAAATATAAATAATACCATAATTTTTGAAAACCATTAAAAATGAAGATGAAATAAGTAACACATTCTTCAACCTAATTGGAACTGCTTAGAACAAAAGCGGGTTAAAATATCCCCCAATGAAATTCATTTGCAATTTCATAGGTAGTCCCTACTTTCACTTCTATAATTTTGAGAAAACACCACTTCTCAACAACAATCAAAGTCAATTGCAATTTCATCAATAGTCCCCACTCGTGGGCTCATTTCAATTGCAAGCAAATTTGCACACCAAGCAAATTTGCACACTTGCAATGGCACCCCACATCAATGCAATTCAAAGTTGCAATTGCAACTTATTGCCACATCAGCTTGCAAGTCACTATAATTTCACCATTGGAGATGCTCTTATGCAAATTTGCACCCTTGCAATAGCATCCCACATCATAGCAATTTAAATATGCAATTGCACCTCCTTGCCACATCATCTTACAAGTCACAAAAAATGCACCATTGGAGATGACCATTACTGCATCTCGTCACCTGTCTTAGGGAACTTAGCCATGGCAAATTCAAAAAATACTGTATGCATAGAAAAATATTGGTCTGGACAATTCAAAAAATAGGAGACCTTCCGAGTCAGATGATGTACTGGCTCCCCTCAGTACCTGACAGTTTTGAGTGCTGGAGAATTAAAGAAAAGACAAAAGACTAGAAAAAAACCAACAAAGACTTAGGAAACTTGTTAACAGAAGACATCCATTGTCTGCCCCTTTGCTGCTCCAACGCTCCACCCCGCCCTGCATTAATCGACTCTCATGTAAGCCGAGGACGTTTGCTTGAGGAGGCCTCAGGGGTCTCTTGATGCTCCGTATGCCGATTCTCAATAAAAGTATTGGTCAATTCGGCTATAGGGTACACCGGCAAATAGGCGCACTGGTCCTCCTTAACATAAACCCCCAAGGTGGCCATGAAGGTGGCATAGGGAAAGGCAGTGTACAAGTTTTCCCCTTTAGGTGCAGCCTCAACCATGTTCAGGCACATGAGACATGCGAGGTTAACAGGAACACCTCTTTGAGCTTGCACAAGGATAAAGTCAAGTTTACGAATAATCGAATGACCACGGCACCTTGGCAGGAAGCAGTTGACGATCATCCAGTGGAGGAATCGAAGAGGATCTGGGAGGAAAGAAGCCTAGATGCGCCCCTTTGTGAGTTTCGCCAGTTCAACTTCAAACTCAAAATCGTACAGCCGCCCAAGATCGCTTCTGCTCTCAATGGGGTGTCCTCCGGCAGGAAGATCGAGGATTTCAGCAAACTGATGAGGCTGGAAGCAGACTCTATGTCCCAGGAAGATCGACACGAGATGAGAATCACAAGGACCAGAAAGCTGTAAATTGTGATAGAACTTCCTCACCACATGGGGGGCAGTAACTGGTGCTTCCTCGACTCCGGAGATCAAAGAACTTTTCCCAACCAAGATTTTTTATTAACGTCTTCACTTCTGGAGGGAAATGACTTAGGTGGATGAACTCGTACTCGGCCACAATTGCTGTTTTGCTTGTAAATGAAAGATAGTCACCGATGGAGTCTGGAGGAAGAAGGAACAAGGGGAAGGTGAAGATGGAGGAAATAGAGAATGTAGGTGTAAGAAAAAGTGATCGTGGGGGTTGAGTCTGGAGACGTGAGTGTGATGGAGATGGTTGAGTCCGGAATGTCAAGATTTAGAAGATTTCGGAAGATATGTAATGATGATGGTAACTCGTGTAGGCTAAACTAGGGTAAGTAAAGCTAGTTAAACTAGGGTTGGCGCACGAATTGATACGGCAGGAGAAATGAAATGGGCTCTCACGTTCCAGGCCCACTTTTGAATATTGCATGGATAATGTACAAGCCCACTTTTGAATGTTATTTAAAAGCCTGCAAAAATCAATGATCAGACCCAGTCCAACTAGAATTAGTCCTAAACGCACCGTTAATACATAAACACAAATTAAGGAGACCTCTCCATCCGATTCGAATCAAATTATGTCTTCTTCATCTCCTTCCTCAATCCTCTGGGCGAGACGAACACTACATATCAGGAAACCTTAATTTCACCGAGTGGTAGAACTTTCGAGAAAATAAAATGACAATAACGCTAAGACAATATGACAAAGCACTAGCGACATGAACCCTAGGGTTAGCAAACCTCTTTCAATGGTTCTTTTTCAAATGAAAATTTTGATGAACACAATAATAGACATGGTCGGCGTAATCGTGTTAGAAAGAGATAGGCGAGGGGAAATAAAATGGCGAAGAACAAACAAGACAAAATAAATTGGGAAATTCAATCTACGTCGAATGTGGATGCAAGTAATTGGGATCCAAAAATATGATTAAGTTGGGGAGTTCAAATTGGATGGAGAGCTTCTCTTGGAACTGTGAAGGGGCGTCCCTCCAAGACTAGAGAGGGATCGTGTAATTGGTTAGGGAGACTGGAAATTGGTTAGAGCGGCAGTGGGTCTACCCAATTGGGTTTGCAGTCTTAATCTATTTAATTTAATCGGGGCAGTTACTTGGACTAGGATGAAAACAAACTTAACGCGACAGGAGGCTTTTTGTAATTTGTTTAGTTATTTAGTGGCGCAGTTAGGTTTAACAAACATGAGCCGTGGAGATTGAAAATGAATGGTTAAGATCGGCCAAGGTACCCGTACCCAGATTTTTCCTTGGGCACCGTAGAAGTCACCATATATATATATATATATGTGTGTGTGTGTGTGTGTGTGTGTGTGTGTGTGTGTGTGTGTGTGTGTGTGTGTGTGTGTGTGTGTGTGTGTGTGTGTGTGTGTGTGTGTGTGTGTGTGTGTGTGTGTGTGTGTGTGTGTGTGTGTGTGTGTGTGTGTGTGTGTGTGTGTGTGTGTGTGTGTGTGTGTGTGTGTGTGTGTGTGTGTGTGTGTGTGTGTGTGTGTGTGTGTGTGTGTGTGTGTGTGAAAACGCTATCTAAACCTCGAATTAGCAGGATTTTTGGGCATGCTACTATACCCTAACACTTAATGAGTGAACCCTAGGTCCTAATTATCTAAATCATAAACTATAAACACTAAGATGGTGCATTAATTTTTTTTGCCTATATTTGGAAGAACCATAACTATCGATTATTGTTTCTAATTAAATTAATCTTGGGGTATAAAATTTAGAGAATTAAGATCTAGATTTTGATCTTTACGGGTTAGAGTATAGTATCATGTCCGAAAGATCAGTTAATTCAAGTTTTGGATAGCGTTTTCTTACTCAAGGTATACGGTACCCCGGATTTCACCCTGGCTACCGTAGAACTCTCCATTACATATATATATATATATGTTCTAATAAAAGGCAAGGGCAAAAGTTATATTTCCCCCCAAAAGTAATATAACTGGTTGAATACTAAAAGAAATATCGCCAAAAGCAAACATTGGAAAGTACATTACATCATTTTCGTTAATTGCATGCATTGATCACAATGCATTAATTTAAATATCACCAAAACCAAACCACCCTAGATAAATAGGAAGCATTGTTTACTTACTAAGGGTTAGAGTATAAAACGATAAGTCCATAACCCACACTATAGTCAATTGAACGTCTAAATAGTGTTTTCTATCGAGGGTTCAGGCTAGCGTACTTCAGGTATACATTGTACACCCGTCGACTTTTACTATTTAGGGCATGAATTAATAGGAGTTTGAGGCATAATACTATACCCTAACCTCTAATGGGTGAATCTCAGTCCCTAATTCTCTAACCAAAGCCACAAGACGTAAAAGAAAGAAACAAAAAAGTGGAAGCATTCACTTAATCTAAAAAAATAATAACCGACAGTTCTGATTCAGCGAAATATATTGAAGTGCAAAACCCAAGAGTGAATACATGTGTATACTAGCCTTTACCTTCTTTCTTTTTTTTTTTATCGAAACCTGCACTCAGCTTTTATTGATGAACAAAAGAAAAAACATCGTCAATGTGAAGCTGATCGAGCAGATTTAGCGGTGGCCTCTCGAACCAAACTTTCGCTTCATTCCATCTAGTTCTCGTGTGTGCCATAATATGTGCTGCCTCATTTTCTCTTCTATTCGCATGCCTTATTTGTCCCCCACTAGTCTCATTCAGGAGTCGCCGGATATGTCTACACACCCCTCCAAGCTCCGTTTGAATTTCCGATGCCGATTTCACATGATTAACCACGAAAAGGCAGTCCGACTCGAGGACTTGGGAGCCTAACTGATGTTGTCGAGCAAGCTACACACCAAATTCCATAGCTAGCGCCTCACCCATCATCGGATCCTGGATGCCTCTCAGCTTCTTAGCTGCTGCCATAATGAACTTGCCATTGTGATCTCGAGCTACCACTCCCAAACCGACTCCATCATTGTCCACTCTTGCGTCAGTATTAATTTTAATCACTCCCTCCGCTGTACGTCTCTACTGGTGGTCCATCTCAGCTACAGTCTGTGCTTCCTCCCTCCACTGGTACGATTGGTATTTTTTCAAGTAGGCTATCGATCGTGGGACAATATCTGCCTCCTCCATCTTCACTCCATTAAAGAGGTGGGCATTCCTTTCGTTTCATAAAAACCAAAGTAAAACAGCCCAGCTCTCAAGATCTTCCTCAGTAGCACTCTCGGCTACTTTACGAAACCACTACATGCAATTCAAATCCCCTCTCATCTCGAAACAGTGGGCAACATTTGAAACTCTCCATAACCTACTCATCCATGCACATTGGCTAAACAAATGTACCTGGTCCTCCCCGAGGTTGCAAAAAGGGCAAGCATCCCCTCACCTTGGATTTCGTTGGCTCACTCGGTCTCCCGTAGCAAGTTCCCCTCTTGTAAACTTCCACATGAAAACCTTGATTTTGGGTGGGAGTTTCATCGACCAAAGCCGGTTCCACAAAGCTGGATCACCTACACTTGGATCTCCCTGCTCTTCTTGATGTCGCGCAAACCATAGTCTGTAGCCTTCCCTGGCGGAATAACTTCCGTCTTTACTGTTTGCCCAAATAAGTCTATCAGGATCCTGTGGATTTCGCAAAGGGATCATCCGAATTGCCTTCATCATTTCCTCCGAGAAACAACTCTCTAACACTGTATCGTCCCATGTCTCCTCCTCCTCGTCCATGAGATCCCGAACGACTGCATCCACCGGGAGCCCCGTCAGAGGTGACTGTATAACGTACCCTGGCGTGGTCAGCAACCATCGATCTCCCCAAATCCTCACTGAGGATCCATTACCAATCCTCCACCTCAATCCGTCCAGTAAGAATTCCTGAGCACTCATGAGGCTACTCCACACATAGCTCGGACATTGACCTACCATCGCATCCAGAATGGATACATTCTTATGATATTTTTCTTTCAATAGGCGGGCCACTATGGAATTCGACCATTGAAGGAGGTTTCAAAATTGACGAGCAAGAAGAGCTTGATTAAACCCGCGGAGATCCCGAAAGCCCATTCCCCCTTGAGCTTTCGAGCAGATCAAAGCTTCTCTTGCAATGCATGGGGTCTTCCACTCCTTCCCCCTTTGACCCCACCAGACTCTAGTAATTAAACCATGAATCTCATCAATGATACCATCCGGGACCTTGAAAACATACATTATATATGTTAACTGCGCCTGAGCAACCGAGTTGATCAACACTTCTCTAGCTGCAACGCACAATGACTTTTCCTTCCAACCTGACAACTTTTTAAGCACTCGATCTTTTAGGTAAACAAACAGTTTCTTCTTTGATCTACCGACTTGAGTAACTAAACCCAAATATTTATCATGTTTGTCAACTGCCTTCATTCCCAGAATGGAGCTCAGGATTAAACTATTTTCCTTCCAACCTCACCAGCCGCTTGTTCATCTCCTCATTGACACAGCTGCCAATCGAATCCAGCACTGGGGTAAGTGGTGGTTGATCCCCTGCAGTAAATAACTCAACAAAATAGTTAGTGAAAAATGCCGCCACTTCATCATTTCAGCACCACCATTGTCCTGCCTCATCCCTGATCTTCCTGATTGTATTTCTCTTTCGCCGAATGGAAGATTTGCGGTGAAATTAGAAAGTGGTGTTCTTGTCTCCTTCCCTTAACCAGTCAGCCGTGATCGTTGTTTCTAGAACAATTCTTCATCACTTTCCAACTCATCAAGCTCCAATTGCAGCCTGTTTCGTTGTTGGATAACAAGATCCGTCTGTTCCCTTCTTTCTAGAGTTTTCAAAGCTCTTCGGATTCGTTCTTTTTGCCTGCAAAAATTCGGGAAAGCAGTCCTACTCCATTGATCCAGCTTTGCCTGTACCTTCACAATTTTGGAGGTAGCATCCCCTGCCGCCGTGGTCCATGCTTCTCGTATTGTTTCCACACAATCTGCCTGCTTTGCCCATAACGCCTCGAAACGGAAAGACCACCCCCATTTAATATCCTCATCATCTTCCCCTCTCGAATAACAAATGATGGGTCTGTGGTCCGATCAAGCGTAATCCAGGTGTGAAACACGTCCTGCCGGCCACATGGACCGCCAGTTATCGTTCGCCAGGAAACAATCTAATCTTTCCTCCACATACCTCCCCTTTGCCTCATGTTTTCCCACGTAAATGGTGGACCAAGGAAGCCCAAATCTTGCAAACCCGTCTCAGTCAGGCAATCAACGAAAGCATTCATCTCATGCTCGTTACCCAAATTTCGACCCCTCTTCTCATGGTCGGCGAGGATTACGTTGAAGTCCCCTCCGCAAATCCATGGACCCTGCCACCGTCCCGCTAGCTCTCCCAACAGGTCCATAGTCTTGTGCTTCTCATTCCCTTCAGGCTACCCATATATACTAGAGAATTGCCAGGTGCCTGCTTGAGTTTCCTCAATCTTCACATCCATAAAGTTTGTCGATCCATCCATAATCGTTGCTTTTACATCTTCTGTCCACCACACCGAAAGGCCCCCTGCTCGGCCCCCTCTCTAGATGTCACAAGGCCAGCTATCTCCATTGCCAAAACCCAATTCTTTTCTCAGCTCCTCATTCTCACCACTAAGCTGTTTGGTCTCCGTAAGAAAAACCAACTGGGGGGAAATCCGTCGCAAAAGCGACTTTAGAGCTCTAACTGCTCGTGTATTTCCCAGACCACGGCAGTTATAGCAAGGAAGCTTCATTTAACAACCAAAGGGGATCGGTTCCCCGCACCATCAGCTCTTTGGGCATTTTCCCCACTAGATTCCTTTCGACTCCCTATACCTGTATTGTTCTCTCCCTTGTTCTGTTCCATCTTCTTTCCATCAGCATTTTTACCTTTGGACTTTCTTATACTCCCATGTGGGACATGAACACCCTGCCCCTTACTTACATCAGGACCCATTCGGCCCCCAGATCCCTCTTTTGCCCCCATATATTGCTTGCTCGACGTCATCACATTTGTGAGTTTTTGACCTGAACTCCCATCTGGGACCGCGTTGCATGCGTATCTGCATGGGCCTGGTCACGTACCTCATGTTTTTCTCGCTCTAAACTCTCCTCTTCACCAACCTCTATTCCCTTATCGGTCTCCTTCTCTTCTTCCCCAGTCACAATCCGGGTCGTCTGCGTTGCCAGCTTCTAGAACCTATTCGTTCCCGTCTCATCTTTCTTTGTTCCCTTCCCCTTCCCCTTCCTCCGATCATATCCTCGCCCCTGGCATTTGACAACCATCCAGTTGCCATATGGACGCCCCTGTGTGGGATCCTCCCTTACCTCCGGTTCCACTTCCTTGTTACCTTCCATTTCCATTTCATTTACCAATTTGGCACATTGACATGTCCCGACCGTTTTCCTGTACGTCTCACTACAAGTACATAGATCATCTAAGCCCTCATATTGGACCAGGTATGTGACTCCCTCTATCTTAAATTGTGATAGTAGCGGCTGCGTTAGGTCTACCTCAACACATACCCTAGCATACTTTCCTCGGGCACCCAGTTCAGTCGCTCTATCCACTTGTACCGGTCTTCCCAACCAATCCGCAATCTTCATCACGACTTATTTATTGATGAATTCAATCGGCAGTTCGGGTAATTGAGCCCACACCATTGTTGATGTCACCACAGTTTTCCACGGGTTAAAATCCTTAAACCATCTATGAACCATCAAGTAGGTGTCCCCCAGCATCCATGATCCACCTATCGTCACCCATCCATAGTCCTTCTAATTACGGAATTGTACTATAAAACATCCATTCCTCATGTCCGAGATCTGTAAGTCTCCATGTCTAGACCATATTGTATTTAGTCGGTGTGCCAACGGAATGTAAGAAACTCTTCTTCCCAACCCCTTCACCACCAATGCCGAACGCCACTCTCGGTGCCACCTAGCCTTCTTCGCTGCGGTAAAAGGGATTGTCGGGCACTTTGGATCCTCTTTCTCATCCTCTTTCTCATCATCTTCTTCCTTCTCTCTTGCCATCACATCCTCAGAGTCCGACTCATCCCCTTCTTCGTCTGCCATGCCAATTTTGTTGCTTTCCCATCCTACTCCCGTCCATATCTTCCGTCGTTATGTCCGCAACATCCACTACCTCCCCGTCAAAGTTTAGAGCGCGAACCTTCTTCTTTGGTTGTACCGTCTCTCTGGCGCTCTTGCCATCCGGGGTAGAGGAAGTTTCAGCAGGGCGTCGTTGCCCACTCGATGTCTCCGGGGGCTTACCCGGCACAGCCGGCGACGTTGGCCGCTTAGCCACCGTCATTCAGACCGTAAAACCCTAGAAACCTTGCTCTCGCGATTTGGAGACAACCTCCGATTTTTCCGGAGCATTGTTTTTCCCGAATTTCTAACCCAACGATGATAAAACTTCATATATAGCCTTTGCCTTCTTTCCAATAATATGTTATCACTGAATTTACTATAATATATGATAAATTCAACCTCCGTATCAGAGCCCACCAATGAGTTCTGAGGCTCGGTTCCGATAATAATATTGTCTATTTCTTAAATATGATAACATAAAAATCGTTATAAAAATCATCACCGGTTACTTCAAAACTAGTAAATAAAAATCATCATTGGATACTTCGAAACTAGTATCTAAGGTTGTCAATCCGCGGGTCGATCCACTTTGACCTTGGCCCGATGAGAAAAATGGGTTGCATGTATCCGTCGGCTCGACCGCTACAAGGTACCAGGTTGGAGGTCAAAATATATATATTTTTCTTTGGTTTGTGAAATGCGCCTATTTTCCAATTTCTTTTCACCTAACTCAATCTTTGGAATCTTAAGTTGAACATTTGAATATTGATGTTATATAAGAGTGTGTGTGTGTGTGTGTGTGTGAATTTTCACTATATATTGGATCTAAATACGACATGTTATTTTGGTGTAATATTATATGATATAACTCCTATGTTAGATGAGATTTGATATAATTTTTCAAGATAAGTACAATATAATGATTCTTTCCATATTTTCGGGCTAAATCGAGTGACTCATTAACCCTTAACCCACTAGTTCGACCGGGTGCGAGTCAGCCCAGAGGTTGACAACCTTACTAGTATCCTAACAACAATTAAAATAAAAATTGTATAGACCCATATTAACTAACATATATGAACCCCTTATATTTGGAGACCATACTACTAACTAAGAGACGACCCTATAATCATCCCAGCTATGATTAGAGAACTTAGCTAGAAAAATGTTGTATAAAATGTGTATGAAATGGGCCAGTTTTGTATCCTTTTCTTAATATTTAAAATGGCTCAAACATCGATTAGATAACCTTATTGTTCTAGATATACTAGGGGGTTTTCGTTACGATACAAGTCATTGTAATAATTTAGAAATTTATGAGCTCGTCAATTTTTAGTATTTTTATTATTATTTGTGATATTAATAATGTCTATTTATTATAGTAGGATTTGGATTGTGTTGCTAGTAGTTGCTTAGGATTTGGTTATTGCTTTCTTGTAGGAGAAGTTTCATATTTTGGCTAGAAAGGGAAAGTTGGGGGCTGAACCAGGGTGGTAAGGAGAAGCGTTTTGGGATTTTCTATGGATATAAATATATATTTTGTCTTTCATTTAATTTCATTAAAAGATTGGAACCTAGATAGATTTATAGTTTTACTCATGCCATCCTCTATTTCTCTTCGTCCTAAATCTATTCTTTAGTTTATCGTTCAATTCTTGCGACAGACGTTGTGTGGGAAGTTATAGTCAAAGAATCCACGTAACAATTGGTATGAGAGTCTGGTTGCTCCTCAATGCAAACGTCATAAAGTTTTTTTATTGTGCATAACTTTTTAAGCAGGCGACCTGATCAATCCCAAGGGTCTTGATCAATCCATGTATCCTCAATCCCAGGTGTTTGATCAATCCATGTATCATTTCCTGACCCAATCACTCTACTCGCTCCCAAATCAATGACTTTTATGGATTCCCAAAGGGAAGCCCTGATCCACGAAGGTTTGCTTCCTTTTTTCGTTGTATGGAAATTGCCTCTAGGGAAGTACAATCCTTTAAGCAGGCGACTCCACATAGAATCAGGATTAGTGAGAAGCCTCCAAGCTTGTTTGACAAGGAGGGTCAGATTGAAGTCTCTAAAGCTTCGGAATCCCAAACCACCTTTTGAGGTATGTGTGCAAAGGATTTCCTTCCTGCACCATTGAAGAGAATTTTTCTGCATTAACCCTGACCAGAAAAAATTGCTGAGTAGAGTGACCATTTTCTTAGTAAGGGAGACTTCCAGAAGGAAGAGGCACATGATGAAAGACGGGATGGCCTGGATAACAAACTTGAGGAGTACTTCCTTCCCTCCATGTGAAAGAATCCGACTCTTCCAAGCTTACCCCATATTCTTCATCCTTTGGATGAGGAAGTAGAAAGTTTCTATTTTTTTTAATTTCCTCATTCGGTTGGGACTCCAAGATATTTTGAATGGCAGTTTGATAGAACCTGAGATTAGGGTTCTATCGGGAATTGGGGATTTAGGGATTGAGAACAGAATTAGAGACCAACCTTGCCCTCAAGGTTGATCGACTCGGCCAACTTGATCACGTCGTCCGTGCGAACCACGGCTTCGCTCCTCCATCTCTAGCGCTTTCTTTTCTTCCAATCATGCTCCAATTCCTTACTAATCATGGGCCCACTATTTGCCTCTGTGGCAAGTTCAAACGCCAATAGCTTCCCTTTCGTTGGCATCATTCTCCGGCAACTTAAGAAATCTAAAAGGATTTCCTCGTACAAGAATTTATCCTTACTAACTCATCATTACCCTCATATCTCTTTCTTGAATTTAGCTCATAAGATGGCTTCATTGAATCTTCAATTGCCTTTGAGCCACTCTCTTTTCGAAGCCCACCCGCGAAGCATTCAAACCCACCTTCCTTTTCTTTCAAGCCTGCTCCATATAAGAGAGATTTAACCAAACAGCCTAATGGAGGCCCACTTCCGATTTGAAAATGCGGCCCATCTTTCACTCAAACCCAACTGCCCTTTTCTTTTTTATTCAGCCCGCCACCAATCCTTGACCCAGCTCGCGTCGGCCCAATCTCTGGCTCAGCAAAACTCCCTTCTCCAGCTGGCCTGCTTCGCTAGCTTGCTTTCTGCTCATTTCCTCACGACCTAAAAGCCCCAGAGACCAGAGTAGTAGCGCGACCCGGCCCATATCTCTCTTGCTGCTCTCCGCGGCCCAGGGTAGCCGACCTAGGTTTTGCGAGAGGATCGCAGCCACTCTCCCTCGTCGCGTCGCTCGCCGGCAGCTCCGCTGCCCTTCCCTCCGCCGGCGACCAGCTCTCTAGATGAGTGGACGGCGGCCACACTCCGGCAACCCCTGTCTTCTCACTTTCTGGCGTCGAGCGAGGAAACTCACCGCCCTCATTCTCCCTGTTCCTCGTCGGCAACCAATTCCTCTGCCCGAGAGGCCCGATTCTCCAACTGAAAGTCCACCCTGCGCCTCGCGTCGTCAGCGACGTCGCATCCACTATGATAGCCATCAGCTCCCCAACGGTCAGCGCTGTCATTGGGGTCCTCAGTTCCGTCACTGCGAATTGAGTGACCGCTGATCGCGAATCCCTCCGCGACATATGCTCTGCAGGAGAAGAACCCCGGGAGATCTGCTCTGCCTCCTCCAGCTTCGACATTGTCATCGCCTCGACAGCAGATCGCGGCGTCAGCGCAATTCGGACCGCCGCCATTCGTCGCTCAGTCCCCAGCTCCGCCCCGGGTCCTCGATTGTCGTTGACGCAGAGATCTGACATCTTCGAACAGGTTTCCAAGCTTCTCTTAACCGGAATCTCGGCCGCCAAGGCGCAAAGCGGTGGTGTAGCATCATACGCGGTGACATTCTCGTCCCGGAAGATCACACACCATATCGCCTCTTTCTGCTCCAGCTCCGAGTCTGCTTTCTCTGTCTCTCTCGAACCCAACGAGGCCGTCGGGTTCAGGTTTGCGAGTATCCTCGCCATCAGCTATGGGGTTGAAGCTTGTTCCTTCTGGGTCGAAAGATACTTCTGGAGATGAGCGCTTGTTAATGGAATCTGTTCCCTTCCTTTCCGCAGGCGATGGCGTTCTAGGCTGCTTGGGAAGTTCAGCAAGGCCACCTAAAACCAGGGCAAGCGATGGGGGTTTTGATGCAGGAAAGACAACTGCTGCTGTTCGGGCCAACGACGTCACTGTCGTCGCCTCCTCCGCTGCTTCAACAGCCGCAGTTGGAGGGCGAAAAACCAATCTGATTGATGACATCATTCTTCTCCTCCGCTGAAACATTTGCATTGAAGAAAATAGATGAGTTGTTGATGTTGAATTCCTGGCCATTGATTGACCCATAATCGTTGATAATATCCAGACTTTTTTTAGCCTCTTGAATGCTAGCTTTTCCAAAGATGATTGTGTCATCAGCGAAAAGATAGTGAGTGAGGATAAGGCATCTCGTGTTAAGCTTAATTCTCTTGATGCGATCATCAGCCACTGCTTTGTCAATAAGGAAAGCGAGTGCATTAGACATTAAGATGAAAAAAAGGGGGGAAAGAGGATCTCCCTGTCTAATGCCTCTTGAGGGACATAAGCTTTTTGAAGCTTCTCCATTAAAAGGTACCGAGAAGATGACTGAGCGGATACAAGCGCTAACTCATTTTCACCATTTCTCATTGAACCCATATCTTCTAATGAGAGTCTCAAGACACTCCCAATCAACCATGTCATAAGCTTTCTTCATATCCAGTTTAAGCAACATATATCTTCTATTATCCAGTTTAGGGTTCTTGAAATGGTGTGAAACTTCATGGACAATAATGATATTGTCTTGGATAAGGCGACCTCCTGTGAATGTTGTCTGAAGCTTTGAGACCAGGGTAAAAGTCCACCTCTTAAGGTGGGTAGCCATGATCTTCGATATTATTTTGTATATGAAATTGCAACAGCTGATGAGTCGAAACTGTCCAATGGTTTCCGGGCGGTCAACATTTGGTATCATTGCAATGTGAGTGTCATTCCATCCTCCGGGCATAGCTGATGTCTCAAAAAAAATCCTTAACTTCTCTACAAAGGGTTTCATCAACTGTATCCTAGTATCTCCTGTAGAATTTCTCCAAGAACCCATCAAGCCCAAGAGCTTTCCTGGCATGGAGAGTGAATACAGCTTTCCTGATCTCCTCATTGCTAATTGCAACATAAAGATCCTCATTCATCTCTTCAGTAACCATCGTTGGGAACTCTTAAAGAAGGTGGGAAAAAGAAGTACTAGGCCTCGCTTTGAAGAGATCTTTGTAGAACCTTACTAATATATCCTTCATCCTTGTCTCATCTTTCATCCAATTCCCCATCTCATATTTAAGACGAAGGACTCTATTTTTATGTTTTCTATGGATAGTGCTTGAGTGTAAGAAGGAAGTATTTTGGTCAATTATGTTGTGAGGCTCTTCTCTTCTTCCACATTTTATTCCATTCGTGGAGGTTGTTGGGGAATCTCAAGCCTGGATACAATTTCATTCTCCCTAAGAATACTATTTTTATGGAAGTCTTTTAACCAAGCTTTCAATTCTCTCTCACATTTGCTCAACTAGTTTCTAGATAGCCCACCTGGGTCCCACTCTACGCAAACAATTATCTTGCATTCCTCTTTCTCCAGCTATCTTTCATCCACCCTAAATGGTGTTCTTCCTCTTCATCTGTTTCCTAGATAGTGGAGATCTAATCTAAGCAGACAATGATCAGAGTCCAAGATTTTTTTCATGGAACACCAAAGCCTCTCCAAACTCCGCTCTCCAAGATGGCGAACACAACACCCGATCCAGTCTCACCCTTACCAAGTTTGGCCTATTATGCCTATTGGACCAAGCGAAGGGGTTGCATCTGAATCTGATATCAATGAGGGCATTATCAAAGATGAACCTTTTGAAAGGTTCAACATTCTCGTACCTAAGCGGGCATTTCCCCTCTTTTTCATTTTCATAGATAGCAACATTTAAATTCCCAACAATTACCCATTTGTCTTCTCTACTAATCCGAAGGGAACTCAAGTGTTCCCAAAATTGCCTTCTACTAACAGCAGTAGTTGGGGCATGAACAAAAGCTCAAAAGAACTTCTTTCCCATGTCAATACTAATATCCATATAATACTTATCACTACCTGATATATTAATACTAATACGCTCCTTCTACCATAAAGAAAATCCCCTATACAAGTTAACCGGTTCAACATACTCTTTATTGGGGAAAATCTAGATACTTCTTCTTTGCTCTTCCATGAAAACTTCAACTTGTTTGTTTCCATAAAAAAGACAACGAATACGATGCTTAACATAACTTCTCCTAAGGGAATGGCCAAATCCCCTACAATTCCAACTTACAATACTCATGGTATATATGGTGGCTTATGGCAAACCATCAATGTTGTAGTGTCACTTTCCTCTTCATCTCGAGTGCCTTCATTAATCACGTGAGCTTTCTTTTTGTGTTGTTTCTTCTTTCTTCCTCTTCCATTCACCCATTCTACAAATCTAAAAATGGATGGGCTTAAATTAGGGTATGCACCTCCATTAAACCCAAGATCAGAACCTCTTGGGCTTATGAAGAAAAACCCTTTTCTTTTCTTCAAGGTTCGGCCCACTTCTCCCTCCAACTCCTCCTAGTTATGTTGATAAAGGCTCCGGATATGCATGTTTAGTTGGTTGGGATCTAAATTAACATTCTCGTGGGCTTGGGAGTTGAATAAGTAAGGCCCGAGAGAGAGTTGGGCGGCCATCTGAGTTCTCCTCTCCGATTGTCTCCGTCGTACCTCTTCACCTTCTATTCGCAAACTCTCATGGAGATCTGCCGCCACCTACTCCATATCCGCCGATAAATCCCTTGCCCCCATCTCTTCTCTGAACCTTCCCTTCATTCTCCCCGTATTGTTTCTTTCTTTTGCCCTAACTTCCTCCTCCAATCGACGAATGTGAAGCTAGGTGGAATCCAGGGATGACTTCCCTCACCACCTCCTGCCAAGGTGAGCTCTGCTGCCTCCGCCTCTTTCTTGCAAAATAAGAATCAGCAGAGCTATAGTGTTTCCTCCAAGAATCTCAGTCGGAGCTAGGATATCTGGATTCTTCTTATTCAATTCTGCTCCTGCTTCCACTCGACCTATAAGATGAGTCAATCCCCATTTTGAGCTCCGACGTATAAATCTCGATAGCTGGACATTTCCTCCTTCTTCCTTTCTTCCTTCATCCTAGCACAGGTCGTCCAGTTGTGGCCTATTCTCCCACAGAAATAACACAGCTCCACAAGCCTTTCATATTTGAATGAAATCTCTTCACAGGCTTCTTGGCGTGTGGCTTCATCCGTGGATGAAAAATCAAAACCCGTCGGGACCGGTTCACAGAGATCTACTTCAGCCAACATCTGGATAAACCTTCTATACCCGTTGAAATGGAGGCTAGCTCTATCCAAATCAATGAATTTGTTGAAATAGAAGGTACCGACGGATATGATGTTCTGTTCGCATCTCTGGCTTTGTTGTAGACTAGGGGTGGGCAAACGGTTTGGTAAACCCGAACCGAACCGAAATTGAATTAAACCGAACCAAGACCGAATTAATGTTATTCGGTTCGGAATTCGAAAGGAAAATATGGATAGCTCGGAAATCAGGGTTCTTTCAACCGAACCGAATTTCCGAATTTCCGACCGAAAAACAGAATACTATAATTGCAAGCTCCAAATGGTGGATTTTTATGTTTGTAGCATGGTAAAGGAAACCGTACCGGAAGTCATACCGGCTCCGTCAGTGGTAGGGTATTTTGTGGTACTACCGTGGTTCAATCGTTGTGTACCGTCAAAATAACGTTTTTGTAATTAAATAATTTTTTTTTTTAAAAACCGTACCGGCAGATTCGGGATACCGTTTCGGAATAATACCGGATGACAAACCTGAATAAACTAAATAAGCACATTTAATATAAAAATAAATCTCTCTTCTTATCAATTTTCTGAAATTTCGTACACGTGTACAAATAACAAAGAACCATAATATATAATGGAAAAACAACAGCATGAAGCACATCATCAATTGAACTTCCATTGGAAGTCACTCTTCCATAACGCTTCCTATCGAAATCACTACACTGATCAACACAGGGTTGCATAACACCGATCACCTGCCAATCGAATGATCAACCTAAGGATTATAACCCTATAAGTATCAATTCGTTGCATCCTACCGTATGAGTAGCCTAGCTTCCTATACAATGACACCCAATTTACACATTCATGCCAAACACCAGAGAATGAGAATCATCTAACTGAAACACATAGTGCCAACTCAATTGATCTCCAATCCAACTCATACTTAAATTGTAATAGAGCGATTACAGGAAGACCCAAGTTCATATCCATATTTCCCCCATTAACCAAAGAACAGCTAAAAGGAAACCCGATCATCAAAAACAAATACATATAGCAGCCAAGCAAACCATCAGAGATGACTGAACGCACGAAACCAGCTAAATCAAAGGCCTAACAATCAGTTTAACCCATAAATTCGCACGATCCTTCAATTGGGACAGGGTTCATTTTCTTGTGATATAATATATGGGTTCTTCTCTGTTACTTGCGTTTTGGGTTGTGCCGTTGTGAAGAATTCCAGAATCTTACCGTTTTGGGTTGTGCCGTTTTTGGTTTTGGGTCGCGCGTTCTTGAGCAGTCAGCAGTGGAGGAGCGGATGCCGGAGAGGAGCGGCGGAGAGGAGCAACGGAGCGCCGGAGAGGAGCAGCGGAGCAGATCAGGTCGGTCAGTGGAGCGGAGGAAAGTAGGGACGGAGAGGAGCCTTGCCGCCGGAGAGGAGCCTTACCGCCGATCGCTGGTCACGGGCTCGGCGGTTGCTGGTCGCCGATCGCCAGAGGAGAAATGGAGAAGAGGAGGAGCGCCGGCCGCCGGATCGAACTGAAGAAGAAGAGGAGAACAGCAGAACTGCGAAGAAGAAACGAAGGCGGCTGTGTTTCATTCGATTGATTAGGGTTTTGACAATTTGACTTCTTTTTTTTTTTTTTTTTTGCTAAACGACGACGTTTTCTTTCCATTACCCTAGCCCCCGCTAGACCAAAACCGGGCGGTATTTCGGTTTAAACTGTTTAAATCGTTTCTACCGGCCGGCGCGATATTCTGCACCCAAACACGATACCGTATCGCCCGTGCTCCGGTTCCCGGTTTTACCGGTTCAACCGGCCGGTACGATTCGGTTTCCTTTACCATGGTTTGTAGTTGGTTTTAGACTTAAATATTTGAAATGTTTTATGACTTATGTGTTGAAAAGTTTGGTTTTATCATTGATGATGCATATAATTGATATTTATTGTTTATATTAGGGGTGAAAAATAATTTAAAAGTGAGAAAATACAAGTAGCTTCACAAATTCGGATTTTGTGTAAAAAACCGAACCGAATTATGTTCGTTTAAACCGACCGAACCGAATTATAATTCGGTTTGAGGTTTGGGAGAATTCGGGGACCCGGTATTCATAATTTTGGTTCGGTCGAAATCGAACCGACCGAATGCCCACCCCCTACTGTAGACCATGGATCTGCACCTAAACCGCCAACTTGTTCATCGGGGAAGATTCTGGTTCTCCTTTTCCCTCATACTTCTCCAATGTTGTCATTGTGTTTGAGATACTCAAAGATCTTTCAAGCCAGATCCTCTCTCGTATTTTGGCATTCTTGAAGGTGAAGATGAAGAGGTTTTGAGCTTTGGTTGGCTGGAGTCCAACTTCTCCGTATTTCCCCCAAGCGTATCGTGCAGCCCCTGCTTCCTCTTGCAAAGGCAATTTTGTTCTCAGTTAACATCTTCCCCAGCAACATCGATATTCCCCGTCCAACGTTGAAAGTGAGTTTGGGCCGGTTACCTCTGCCTCCAGAAAATGATAGAATGCTGCGTTCCGTGCTCAAGCGCCCGACTTTCTCAACTAAGTCATTCATATCCATTTCATCCTTTTTTTGTGGAGACTCTGTTTTGGGAGGACTTTGGGAAAAGACAAAATACGCGTGATACGAGAGAAAAGGTTCAGTTTTTGGTCGATATTGGGAAATTGCAAGGGTAGCGAAATATGAAAGAAGATGCTATGCTTTGGGTGGCTTTTGGGAATGGGTAAAGAAAGCGAGATATGAGAGAAGAAACTTTGTTCTGGGAAGCTATTGGGAAGAGGCAGAGTTAGCAAGGGATATGAGAAGTTTTTTGTAGCATATCTGACAAAATGTGAGTTTACTTCTGCTTCTTTCTTCCCTCTTAATAGCTCTACCTCTTTGTAGAGAGGCATTCACTCCCAATGATTCTTGGTAGCCATCCTTCTTTTCACCTGTTCCATCATCTTTATTGAAGCTTTTGGGCAAAAGGACGAGCTCCGCCCTTCACTTACTCCGACTCTTCGCTCAATGTTCGGCGATGGCAGGTCCAGATCAACCACCAAATCTTCCACTGTTGAGGCACTAACAAGATTTCTATTCCAAATCCCTCCCTTTCCCCTGCAATGAGTCATCAATTTCCCATCTAGAGGAACCCAATGAATGTTTCTTTTCTTCCTTTTCCTCCCGAACATAATGACCCCCATCTTAGCATTTCATTTTCTGGATCTAGGGTCATCCCTGCTACCTTCTTCCACTTTGAATTCAATACACAGGATAGGACGTACATCAGAGCAGGGAAGGAGTCTATCCCTACCGCTATATGGCTCCAAAGATATCTCTACAGGAGCAGGAATGGTCTCAACGAAGAAGACTGGATACAGAACTCCAAAGAGTTCATAGAAAAGAGAGGTTTGGAGAGAAAGTCATTAGAGAGAAATCTACAGTTGAGCAAGTTGGAAAAGACCCATAATCAATATTGAAGCCCACATCCTATGCTGGGGGCCTGCGAGCACAGGCTATTAGCGGGGCCTCATATACATTCATGATTGGCGGATGGATGCACAGTTTTTTTTCCTGTCAACCAACAAGCAAGGTAGATAGCAAGTAGCGCATTCATTTTGTTGGTTGCTTCTCCTCATTAGAAATAGTTGCTTGCTAGCTGACAGATAATTGAAAGCAGCAGGGGGTACAATAATAGGAAGATTTTATTTTTTGTACAAACTTTCCTTAGATAGGCTCAGCTACCAATATCTCGCATGAAGTAAGTAGGTAAGCCAAATGTGGTTGAGCTGAAAAACCGCACGTGCTCATCAGATCTCAACGACCCAGCCTTTCTTGTCCTCGATTGCGCCGCTCTTGATCCCTTCCAGGGTCGAGTAGAGCTGCTGGGCCACCGTCTCAGCTCCAACCTTGTACTCCAATCTTAAGCAAAACAAAAACCTTGTTACTGATCAATATTTCTATACACCTATGGTTTGTGGTCTGAATGTCTGATCGATACATCTAAATACCTTTTCCCCTGGTACGTTATGGAGCCCACGGAGGCAACGCCTACTGCGGTTCCCGTGCAGAAGACTTCGTCGGCCTCCGCCAGTTCGTCTACTGCAACTGCTCGTTCTTCAACCTGGACATGCAGCAGCCATACCACTTCTAGCTACTGGCGGGAATGGAATTGTCTCGAAATTAAAAAAGATCTAGTTAGCAAACCTGGTAGCCTTGATCGGAAGCGATTTCGATGATGCTCTTGCGAGTGACACCTTGAAGAATGGTACCAATTGCAGCAGGGGTTGATATCACTCCCCCCTGTAAATTAAATGAACTCATTGATTATGATAGACTACAGCTTCAAACCTGATTTTGTGTTGATTGCATTGCTAAGTGCAAGTTTGAGGGTTAGACACCACAAGGAAGCGGTGTTTAAAATTACACTATACATGACAATGAATCTATTTTTAGGTGATACACGTAACAACAAACCTATAATTTCAAGGAACCTTCATAGTAGTTTACCAAAACATTTTATGTCCACGAATCATCTTACAAATGCACATTCAAACAAGAAGGATTTAAAGGAGTGGGTGTTTAATTTCGAGGGTGGGAATATTTAGTAATGAAGGGTGAATGGCATCCAATAATGGATGGGATGAAAGTGAAGGTTCCAATACTTAATAAAAAGGTCTCCGGAACTGGAAACTACTAGTAAATGATACGGCAATATAAAAAGACCAACACCAAAGTGTAGGTCTCCGTTTAGAAATGTTTTATCTGATAGGAGCTGCTATATTATATATATACTTTTGTGTAGGAGTTCAATATTAGTACCTTGAGAACGAAAATGTTGCAAGAAGAGACTTCTTCCAGGTATCTCTTGTGAACCGAATCCAGATACAGAACGTCGGAATACCCGTTCCCTTTCGCTCTAGCTATTGCTTTCAGAACCTGACCAACAAACCCCAACCGGAGAGACCAAAATTAGTCCACCCAACTGTGAAAATAAATTCAGGCAGGGGAACTCTCAATTATAACACTTTTGATACCGGCGCGTAATTGGTGATTGATTTGACGCCTCCTGCTCCACCACGGGTTGCACGATGGAACTCGTCCTCCACATACAGATTCAACGGCGCAAACCCTTCCTGTAATAAACCAAGCTGTCTGTCATTTTACAATGAAATCCACGAAAGGCGATTCGATTGCTCAATTCTGAAGGAATATGCTAAGGGGAAAGGGAACCCACCTTGAAATAGTTGCCGACCGGAGAGCAATAGATGAGGAAAGTGTATTCCGGCGCCGGAGCCAACCCCATAATCGGACCGCTCCCCATTAACAGAGGCCTTATGTAGAGAGTTCCTTTCCCAGGAGGCGGAGTCTTTTTTTTTTTTTTTTTTTTTACATAATGATCATTAATTGGAGTGAAATTAGTTGGATACTCGTCGGGGAAAAAACAGAGGAAGAGAGGAGGAATTCTGTTTCTAGTTTTTACCCAGCGCTTGTTGGCGAGAGCAACTTGTTTAACGGCGTCAACGAACTGATCAACGGAAGGGCAAGGCATACAGATTCTGTCGGCGCCCATCTTCATCCGCAGAGCGTTCTGATCTGGACGGAACACCAGTAGTCTTCCGTCTTCTTTCCTGTACGCTTTTGTGCCTTCGTAAAGTCCCTGAATCCATATTTGTTTTCCCGAGGTCAAGCTTTTTCCTTTTCCGGTAAAAATGTTATAGAATCTCAAAAGCTGAACTGGGTTCTTGTTTTATTGATCACTTGCCTGGCCATAGTTGAGAACCCCGGCAGCAGGGCTGAGCTCGAGAGCGCCATAGCGACTGAGTTGTCCTTGATGAAATTCTCCATCTTTTGTTGACTGGTTTATGTACATGTAATCAGCTGGGGTGATTCCGAACCCAAGATTATCCCAATCCACGTCAGCGTACTCATCCTCACTGGGACAACAAAGAAACAAGTCAAAGAAATGGGTAGAATTAAAAAAAATAAAAATAAAAAACTCAACGAAACAGAGTAAAAAGAAACAGAGCACATGGTCCTTCGATGAACAGAAGCTATGAAACGCAGGGAACCGCAATCTTACCCGTAAGTAGATGGCCTAATAACTTGTTGCAGGGAAGATACAGCACCCGAATTGTAAGAATTTCGAGCTCCAACTCCAATCTGTCATCGAATTGATCCAGCCAGAGCGAAAAACAGAGTTAAAAACAGTGGCTTTACGCCAAACGAACTTCAAACCAATCCGGAGCAAGTAAATCACAACCAATCGAAACCCAAACAGTAAGTAAGCAAGTAGATTATATATTGATGGAATTGGTTGAGCCAATCAAAACCAAGAGCGTATATGGAGGGAGAGCAGGGGAAGGAAATCGCCAAAGCTTGAACCTGGGAGAAAGAAGAGATGGCTCGAAGAGACTTAACCAAAGTTCGGATGGATGAAGCCGTTCGAATCATGGTCTCACCGGCTGATTATTACTCTTGGTTCGGCAAACGGCCAAATGCGCGGAGGCTTTATTCAACGTATCTAAGATGCGCACAAGGATGCCTCAGCGGAGACGTTTCGTTCTCTCTTTTTTGTTTTTGTTAGTGTCTTTGTTTAAGAAGGAATGGAGGGAGCGATGGTTTATGAAAGATGCAGAGGGCAACTGGGGAATATCAAATTAATATCCTGTTATTCCACGTTCTTATCTATGGTTTTTATTTATACTAGCCCAACACCCTCCTCTCTACCCCATGAATGTATCAACTGTAAGGTAGGGAAGTTATGTTGGATGGTGTGCTCTGTTATCTCCAGTGGATCCACCCAATTATTATTTGAATTTTGAACCCCTAACGATCTCAATTATTCAATGTACGATACATTGGTGTTAGAACATTTTGCAAAAATCATTTTGACAATGCTAATTAAAATGAAAATAGGAAAAGATGTCAAAAGACTGCTTTTAATACGAACAAAATATAAATTTAATGTCGACAATTCTACTAAGAGTTGATCGCAAAAATCAGAATCACCCTAACATATGATAACAAAGAAAGGGTCTTCTAAGTTCCAACCCACCAAGTGAGCTATCTTGTCATTAAGAAAATTGTGGTCTTAATTAAAAGTAAATAATCATGCTTAAAACTAGGGTAATTATCATAAATGGTAACAAAACTATTCACTTTGTACAAAACGGTCACAAACTTTTAATTTTGCACGTTTCGGTAACATATGTTTGTACTAATAACAAAAAGGTAATTCCAGCCATCTCCATCCACAAATCCGTTATGTTACTCCAGTCAGCACGACATGTCATCAACAAATAATAATAAAAAATCAATAAACCAAACCAATTATATCCAACCAAACCAAACTCAACCCCACCCAAAAATTATACTCAATAGAAATACAAACTCAATCCGAGAACAGACTCTAATATGTTGCCCTCTCTCTGTAACCCTAATCCGAGAATTATCCTCACAATCCAATCTCCATATTCCAATCCAAAATCATCCACTCCGTCCAGGAGAGAAAGCTCACAATCACACTGTTAAAGAAGCTTAATTAACTCCTTGATGAACTCTGTTAATGCTCCATCGGCATAAAGCAAGCAATTCCCGATACCCAAACTTGAAACGTCGCCGCCAATAGCTTGAATCCTTCCACCTGCAGTGCACAATCTTCCATGGATTCCTTGCCTTCCCTTATTCGTCGATCTCCGACTGATCAATGATTATTGCCGCCTTGTCAAGGCACCTCAATCTTGCAGTTCGAGAAAGCTTGGAATTGTTGGGGGCAGAGAAATCTTGCAGCTCTAGCGGCGGGAAAATCTGCTCAACAGGCCGTCGGCGACAGCCTCTGGAGGCACAGATCCACCGTGATCGGTCTCCACTCAACGTGTAGGTGCAGCTCTTGTTCTTCGCGAACTGCCGCTCCCCGACGGCTTCTACGAGAACTACTTCTTCCCGGTCAAGGTCACAGCCACGATTGGATCCCAGGCGCGCGGCGGGGCAGTAGCCAGCGCGATTGAATTTATATAGGAAGCGAAGGGGAGGCTTGGGATGGGTTCGAGAAATACGTGAAGGGAGAGGTTAAGGAAGAGGAAGATCCTTTCGCGGCGCCCATGGTGTACACCACTCTGTTCGTATCAAAGTGGGGGAGGCTGGGGTTTAACGGCGTTGAAGGTAGAAGATTGGTTGGGTTGGATTGGGTGGTGGGTTGGTTAGGGTTTGATTGGTTTTTATTTTATTTTTTATTAATTATTTTGATGATGTGGATGCTGACGTGACAGCTAACTGGATCAAACTAACAGAATTTTGGATGGAAACAGAATTATCTTTTTTATTAATTATATTGACAGCTAACTGTTATTACCCCTTAAAACTATGATTAAGAATGACTTCATAATGAAACAGCGACTTTTAATATTTCGTCATTATAACTCCATAATGAAACAAGGTAATTTAATAATCTTGTAGGAAGACTAACTTGGTGGTCTTTTGTCCTTTTCTTTTAACCGAGAATGGTAGGCAGAGCATTACTAAAAATAGATAAACTTCTACTTGTCTAGCTACAGAGGTCTTTGTTTTTGCAGTGAGGGTTACGGGGATTACTATAAATTAGTAATCATCATGTTTGTTAAGTGCAAATCGGGTATAAGCAATATTTTTTTTTAATATTTTACAATTTAGGAAGGGGAGGGAGGGCTTAGGATAGGGTGAGTAACCATTGGTTACTAACCTATGAGTAACTAAATCTGGACCTTTAGATCAAAGTGAGTTCAGAAAATCCCAATCTAAGAGTTGTCAATTAAAGACATTTTATTTTTCCTAGTTTTCTTATCGGCTCTTATCTTCTTCGTTCTAACTAGGATTTCATTTTTTTTTTTGCACACATGGAACGAGTTCGTTGTGCTCTACAAAATGAGATCAATTTTCAATATATTTCGAGAAACTTTTTTTTTTGCCAACTACATATCATATAGTAACTTCTTCGTTTTTATGTCGTTTTTGAAAACGTTTGCTCAGAAGGAACGAGTTCATCATGATCTATTGGATCTACTAATTTCTGAGTGAAAAAAATACCAGACCAAAAATTACCATACTTTACCACTATGGTATGTGGGTGGTAACTTATGGTAAACAATGATGAAAGTCATAAATGACAGTTAGTATACTCCTACTATCATGTATTCAACCTTCTTACCATATTGGTATGTTCATACCATCATGATACGCTTTATTACCATAGGGTATTAAATATGAGCATACCATATGGTAATGACTGGTAAAAAATTATTCAATTTTTTTTGTACTAAAAATATATCAAAGTGGATATCATTTTAAAGAGCACATTTAATCTGATTTATCTGTGCAAAAAATTCTAATTTTGACTTAAAACGAGAGAGAAATTGTCCGTTAAAGATTGCAGGGGAAAAGATAAAAGACTTTCCAGGAGAGAGGGCATGCTGATGTTATGTGGATGTGGACAGGTTACTGATGCTTACTCACTATATGGGTTACTGACCTGATCCGCTCCCGGAAGGGAGAGGTGAGAGGAGGAAAGTAAGGGCCGCCGTTTCTTATAAAAGAGAGGGATATAGATACATTTTAGAGATTGGGGAAAGGAAGGATATAGTAAATTATAAATAATGGTAATAATCTGGAATGTTAATATTTTTATTCCAAAATTATCATTAATCTAATATTGAACATTATTTTAAAAAATGAAAAAATAGAGCTAATTAAGGGTTTAGATGTAGGTTGTCACGATGGTTACTAAAAAATAGTATCCACTCTAACCCATCCCTTTTTGCATAATACCTTTGACGCTTTGTTGAAAATTTTAGGCAAAATACACCTCCATACCCATAAGTTTCGGGTTTTTTTACAATAGTAGTCACTTTTGAGAAATACATAAAATAATCAATTTTGCTCAATTTTTTAACGGTGTCATCTAACAGGTTGACTAGACTAACATTTTTTTGGTGACATGTAAGTATTTTTTATTAACTTGTTTGCTGGATTTTTGTCCTTTTATTCTAATTGAGTTAAAGAAAAAATCATAAAAAATAATAATCCACCTCCGCCTCCTCTGTCCTTCATCTCCCTCAATCCCTACCACAATGAAATGTCGCCTCTTCTGCCCTTTATCTCCCTCAACGTTGTCGGGTCGCGATTTGGATCCATAATCAAATCTGTCTTCTCTCCCACAGAGGACAACAATAAAAGGACTTAACCGCTGCCTTCTTCCTTGATGCCTCAAATCCGAGGCCTAGAGAGACATCAAAGAAGGAGAATTGAAGGATAATCGAGTACCAGATGACACCGGAGGAGAATCGAGCGACAGACACAAGTTCCTTCTCTACTGGCGGTCACCGCCACATCTAGAATCTACCATCATCATCACATCTCTCCCCTCATGATTTCGTGGAACCATTAGAAGCGACGTAGCCCATAAATTCAATAGAGATTGAATTCCATCATTTTCCTCAACCTCTTCAAAAATCAAGGATCTCATATTCTATTCTAAAATCCCTATTCCAAATTCCTCTTCTATCATTGTTGCCTCCCGCCTCTTTTGCCGCGTCGTCCAGGTATGCTTTCAAGATGAAGGACTCGCCCAAGGGGTTCGATCAACGAGGTTGCAGTGCAAACGCCATCGCCGACAAGAACTTTGTTTTATGATTTTGAATTTCTAAATCGGAGACGACTATCGACCTTCCCAATCCCTCTATCCCTTCCAAATTACAACGCCTTCCTCCTTTGGGCCACGAACTGGTGGAGTCTGGGGTAGGGTATGATGCTGATAGTGGTAGTGGTGACGGAATTAGGATGGGTCAAAGGCGGATCCAGGATATAGTAGAACACTATACCACGTTTGAATATAAAATTAAATACCGATTAACATTGGACAGAAAGAGACGGTTAGGGGTAGAAGCAAGCAGGTGTCGTTTGTTATACTATCCATGGACTCAGAGGAGGGTTGTGCTATGAACCGGTAGTGGCCTCCCCCTAGACCCACCACTGGATGAGATACGGCTCTAGCACCTACAATGGTGGCGGAAATGGAATTGGATTTTGGAGCGACAATGTTGGAGGAGGTAGTGGGCCAGAGTAGGCGTTTGATATGGCGGCGATGGTACAGTATAAAAGGGGAGTCCAAACAACTAACGGTGCTTATAACACGTTAAAGTTTGTAATAAAAATGACTAAATTTGTCATAGAATCATCCCAAAATTCTAGCTATTTTAAATATTTCTCCAAAATGAACTATTATTAACGACCATACATTTTTTCATCTGTGACTCGGCATTCGACAATGAGGTGGCTACGACATGACTTCCACATCATCTATGTAGAGTTGAGTAAATCGAAGGACGTCGAAGGATTATAGAGGGAGAAGGGAGAGGTTAGAGGATGAGAGGAAGAAATGAGATGGCAATTTTTAAAACCCTATATATAGGCCACGGCCATTGTACTCTGTAGTTGAGCCGATATAGTGAAACCTCTTCGAGAGTGCCGTCTCTCACGTGGACTAGTCATGAATCTCGGGGATACCACATTAAATCTCGGGTTTCTTTATTGTTTGCTTGATTTTTTACATGGTATCAGAGCCTCTGCTCTAAAGGTTTGTACGTTCTCCTTGACTGTGTGGTATTGCAACGTTTGGTTGTCTCTTGCCGCTGGTTTCTGTTGCGTGCCTGTGTCAATATTGCTTTTAGGGTTCTCCGCTTTTGTTCTCTTGAGCTGCTGCTGTTTTTGGGCCTTGTTCTTGGGTGGTCCTTCTGTGTTTGCGAAGCTCTTATAGTATGGATTTTTCGAAGATGGAGTTGGTCTCAGTCAAGTTTGATGGCCGCAATTTTTCGATTTTGGAATTTCAATTTCGCAACTTTGTTGCGGGTAAGTGACTTCTTTCGGTTTTGACCGGCGAATCCAAAGCTCTGGCGGCGGGTTCTGATGCTGCGGTGATTGCTTATTGGGAAGCAGCAAATGCTCAATTGATTAATTGGCTGGCTGGTTCTGTTGATATCCCTACGACCCTCAACTTACGTCATTTTTGGTATGCTCATGAGATGTGGGCTCATATTAATGCTACTTATTCCCAAAACAGTGTTACTCGTCAATTTGAGTTGGAGGGTGAGATGAGTCGTCTTGTTCAGGGTGATCGGGATATTCACGGTTATTATCAGGAATGTCTTCAGTATAGTGAAACATCTTTGAGAGAGTCGTCTCTCATGCGGACTAGTCCTAAATCTCAAGGATACCACGTTAAATCACGATGCTCTTTATTGTTTGCTTGAATCTTTACAACAATGATTTGTGGAGATGTCATTAATGATGGGTGGTGATGTCGGAAGAGAGAGGAAGAAAGAGATGAGTCGACGCCTGGCGATGGAGAGGGAGAAGGGGAAGATCGAAGGATAGAAGGAGTTAGAGAATGACGAAGGGTGTTAGTTGTATGGGTGAGATTAGTTGTAGGTCGTTAAGAAAAAGTTTAGGAATAGATTTGGAAAAAAATTAAAGTGAAATATGAGATTTCAAGAAATTTAAGGGCAACTATTTTTAAGAATTTACAGTTGCGGGATTTTAAATTTCGTCACATGAAAAATTCTGCAACCATCAAAACAAATAATTTTGCTAAAATTCCATGTTATGTGGAATTGGATAAAGTTATGCAACCAAATTCCTATCTAAACGACCACTGGGAGTTTAATGAGCATGATACTTAAGGGAGAAAAACTTGTGTAAGGCCGCTGCACCACATCATCATTCCTCCCTGGTGCACCACACCAATCCAAAATGCATTCTCTTTCCTGCGTTACTGTGCTTTGCAGGCGGGAGAATAGGCATTTATTTATTTGCCCCATTTTTAATTTATTCTTTTATTTTTATGAACTGGTGGCTCTTCCCATCTTTTCTTGTCTCTCTATTGTGTACCCACATCTTCCGTAGCCTCCTCTCTCATCACTGTACACAGTCCACTTGAAAAACAAACAAATAAGAATACATG